CGTAGCCGTCGCTGAGATTCTCCATTCCGTCGGTCATGAGCTGCCAGAACAAACTCCCGGCGGCCGCGCCGCCGCGCCTTGCGGAGGCGTATATGGATCGGTAGACGGCGGTGAAGAGGGCGTCCCTCTGGGCGGAGGTGAATCCGGGATCTTTCCATGATTTCCCGAACTCGGCGATCAGCAATGGCTTCTTGAGGATGGATTGGGAGTCTTGAATGTGGGCATTCAGCCAGTCGGAGAGGAAGGTTAGCTGGCTTTGCTCATCTTTGTTTGGTACCCTGTGATCAAATTAAATCCCATCCATTATTGAATCAAAATATGAAGTTGATAATCTTTAGGGGAATCTTTATGTTCCAATTTAATTTATAAGATTCACACTAAATAACACTAAAACATTGAAAAACTACCAAAATAAGACTTTCATGTTTTTACACGTGCACATTACTTTACTTTTTTGGTAATGTACATGACCATGGTAATGTAAATGCATTTTAATTCCTATTTCGGGAATAAAAACATAGAAGTCCTATTTTGGTATATTTTCAATGTTCTACTCCTATTTTAATCTTTTTCCCTTTAGTTTAACTACAAAGTATTTGATTTTTAATCCATTTTGAGCGTTAATAATTATATTTGTACATAAATCAATTTTACACCGGTGTATAATTAAACCTAGTATGATATTTTAAAGCTTCATTTCCAACTAAATACTCTCTAGTATTTATCCACTAAGACGTTTTGAATTAAATTGAACGAAGTATGATGAAATTTGTATTGCATATGCGTTCAATGAATTTAGTTTCATGAAAGTCTTTTGCATGATTTGTAAATCTTACGAAAACGTTTTTGTATTAATATTCAATATTGCTTTAGTTGAATGTACAAATACTATTAACTTATCCACAAAATTGGTTAAAATTTGTCAAATTTGGCAAAGAAAGGTCAAACATACAATGCAAATCAGGATGCAAGGAGTAAAATCTAAAACGACATTTAAGAATGAATTCGATGACAAATTTTGATATATTTTGTATGTTAATTTGGGTTAAAACTTATAAACTTTGCCAAAAAAATAAATAAAAAAATGTGATTTTCTTTTAAGGAGGTAGAGGGAGAAGAATTACTGTTGGGTATACCATTGATCAGGATAGGAGTGAGCAGTGGCAAAATCAATTTGAGGAATTTGGTTGTTTGCAATGAAGTCAGTTCCAATGCTGAAGGGATTTAGATGAGTCCTCTTAGGTGTTGTTTGACCATAAAACCCTTCCAGCCCAACTTCTAACAAATGCTTTCTGTCTATGGACTTCACATAGGAGGCCATCTCCCTTATCCATGACTGCCATTCATTCAAATAAATAAATGCAGAGTAAATAAATAAATAAACATGCATGTTTTTTTTTACATTTATGACCCCGGCCAATTGGAATTGCCCGTCTGCTACACCAGCGTGTGTTAGGGAAGCAAATTAGCGATTCCTGGAGACTTGGGGGCAAAGAGGTTAATGGGGTTCGGGGAGTAGGACCCACTTCTAGGTTCAGCAAGATACTGTAGGACTTCGTTGTCATAATATAACATTCAAAACCGGTGTCAAAAGAATGGAAAAGAAAAAAGAAGAAGCTAACTTGAATGGTATTTCCAGAAGGATCAGATAGGCATCTAGGCTCATTCATCAACTCCCAAGCCATGATTGTGGGGTCATTTTTGTATACAACTCCACTCACACTGTTCCTTCTGTTTAGCACAGTCTGCATCAAGGCAAAACGAAAAATGAATGAGGCAATGAAATTCAAAGAGTGTTAGTGTGATAAAGGTATATTTATTACTCCCTCCGTCCCAAATTACATTACAGTCTTCCATTTATGAGGCAAAACCCAAATTTTTTAAAATCAATTTATTTAAAAATTGGTATATAAGAATACTTAATAAAATTTACATATTAACCAACTACGTCGAAAGTTCTATAAAACAAGAGGTGACAAGAATATTTTCTTTTATCAAATAATCAATGAAAATAAACAAACAAAAGTTATCGAGAAGTGCGTCCCGAAAAATTTGTAATCAATTTTGGGACGGCGTGACCGAGAGAATGACTTCAAGTGTAATTCCAACTTTGACCCTAACTTTTTCAAGATAACAAACAGACACTAGTGCTGTTAAGTGTCTGTAATAAGACGAATTATAGATGTGGGAGATTACCTGGATGTGGTTCTTGTAGTAGCCCTTGACTACAGAGTTAGTGAAGAAATCATCATCAGATGAGAGTTGCTGGCCTGCTTGGTTTTTGGCCCAGTTCACATATTGTTTCTTCCCTCCAAAGCTTTCATAGTTATTGACTAAGCTTAATATCAACTTAATCCCATACTTTCTTGCCTCTGCTATCACAAAATCCAATCCCTTCATATATAACCACAAGAAACAAAAAAACATTATAAATAAATTTAGTCTCATTTCAGTTTGTTGTGCATGTTGACCTTTTTTTTTACTTCTTTTGTGGTTCCAATGTTCCATAGAAAACATGGTCTGATGGTCAAACGAACTTTTTTCTTTCTTTCCAGAAAAGCAATACATGTCTCTACTAAATAAATTAAACCGGCACATCTTTCAATTTTTATTAAACTTCGTGAAGTCAAAGTGTAAATTTGTTTTAATAGGTTGTCCACTATCATTAAATTAGATTTAGAAAAAAACAACGATAATAAGATAATGAGATCTCGAGTGGAATTAGATTCAATCTTTTATTGTGGTTTGATCCAAGCATCTTTTGTGGTCTAATTGAAATTGCATGACCTCTATCAAATCCTAAATTGTATTGAAGGAGCTAGTATGTATAAATGGGTTGTGGTTAATTAAGTCACACAACCGATGACACCAAGGGCGGCACCGTCAGTGTCTCATAAACAATGACCGTCTCACGGGCAAAAAATGTCCGTGCGAGATGTTAACCTCGGTGTCACGTTAGAGTAGCATTATGATTGATGTGTATAAATAATATATATATACCTGGAACATGTCTTGGTTGTAAGAGCCAGGAGAGGACTGAAGAGGCCTATAACCACCATCGCTGAAAGCCCAAGTTCTGGCAACAGTGAGGCCATGGGAGGCTGCAGCTCTGTAGGCCTCTGAGACTTTGTGCCTTTGGGAAGGGTCAGATGCCACATACATCAGCCAGTAGGCATTGAACCCATTGGCATAGAAAGGGTACCCTTCCACACTGAAGTGGACCCCACTTGCCCTTATGAACCCTTCATTTCCTTGATCAGCAGCAGCTTTTACTACACAACTCTGCTTGCTTGGATAATCAATGGCTAAAGGCATTGCCATTAATAATAGTAGTAGTCCTAAATAATGATTCTGATTCTTCATCTCTCTGTTTTTTTCTTTTTCTTCTGTTTGAATGAATTTGGATGAAGAGAAGCTAGGGTAAGGGGAGTATATAAAGGGGAGGAAAGTGGGGGGGGGGGGGGGGGGGNGGTGCTTTGCTTTTTGTTATTGATGAATGGGATTGGTGATACCAAATAAAAGTCACCTAACATAACTGAAAAATTGAAGGATATCATAGTAAATTTAGTGCAATAATATTGAAAATTTTGCCCAAGTCATTCCAACCCCGAGAAGATGGGATATCTCATAAATGTGGGGACAAGAGTTTTTGTATATTGCGTTGTACGCATCTGGAAATAGTTTTTATATTTTCAACTAGGGATAAGATCTGTGTACACACACTCTTCTTGGATCCTACTTGTGCTTCCCCCTTACATGTCTTTGTTTCCTTAGATATTGTGTCATTATATGTCATGACAACAAAAAAACATAAAATGTTATCGGTTGTCATTTATAATCTCTTCTTCTCATATACTCCGTAATATTTTATAATTTCTTATTCCGGGTGTTTTAAAAGTTTTTACACTTGTTTTAATTTTTTAGTAGTGAAACACATCAAGGGACAAGGTATTTTTCTCTCATCTAAATAAATTTTAAATATATATTTTGCATTTTGTATTTTTCAAAAATTTGTTAAAAATTTTGTAAAAACCAAACCCTAATGTTATTTTAAGAATGCCGACTTTACTTCCATTCTTTGATAATTGATAGTGTATGTGTATGCACGAGGGGAACACAAGATGGTTCATTAATTACTTTCTCCCCTCTTGTCGGCGGCGCCCCTAATTCCTATTCTTTTCTTTAATAATCCGTACTATTTATACATTTTACCATTCAAAAATCGTGTGAGTTCTTTTTATTTGTGCAATTTTATTAACTACTCCCTCCGTCCTATAATGTTCTTCTCGTTTGTGTTTACGAGGTTTGATCGATTTTATTTTTAATTCAATTTATTTGATTGTAGGTTTGAAATTAAAAAATAAAATTTATATATTTAAAAACTATATCAAAAGTTGTACAAACCAAGTGGTGACAAGACTATATTATTTTATCAAATACCTAATGAAAATAGGTAAAGAAAGTGATTAAAGTTTAACCGTGTGAAAAGTAACAGGGAAGAACATCTTAGGACGGAGGGAGTATTTGATAAAATTAGATATTCTTGTCATCTCTTATTTTGTAGAACTTTTGATATACTTTTAAACATGTAGGAGTAAGTTTTATCTTTTTATTTATATACCAATTTTTAAATAAAATTAATCGAAAAAATTTGATATTTTACATCATTTTGTTTAACGTATAAATGATTTAAGGACAGAGGGAGTACTATGTTACCTCTCGCTTGAATTGGTTGTTTTAGGGCCTATTTGGGAATAACGTTAGGAATTAACATTATCGTTTTGAAAAAGCTATCTACGGGCAGCGTTTTTAAATTAATCTGCATTGTCAAAATTTTATCCAAAATGTTGACGCAACGCTATTTCCAAACATGCTCTTATTCTACTCTTTACTGGTCAGTATACATGTAACATGTCGGGTGATTTCAGTTGCCAAAAGTGGGGATTCGGTCGGTCGGGACAAGTTGTAGCTACTCTGTAAGGAGCTGATAATAAATTTAAATAGAAGGTGAAATTAGAGAATGGAGGTTGATATTTGTTTCCCTAAATAAAAGCATCCGCACAGGGAAGATTATTTCCATTTTTCTCTTCCACATCAGATTTTGCGGATTTAATAAACAACTTTTCTATTACTAAAACTCTTCATATCTTATGTCGAAAGTACTACTAAAATATTATTCTTACAAAATAATTAATTAACTCAATACACTCTTATCTTACTGAGTACCCCGTAGTATTAAAAATAATATTTAACTACATATATACGTTTTAATTTTCAACATTACTTTTAAAAGTTGTGAAGCATATATGAATGTTTTTCAGGACAAATTAAAGGGACAATATTGAAAATCAATAATGCAAATGTAAAGGATAAATATTGAAATACTAGCTTAAATATGAGATACCCATGCATTAAAATTCATAAAAGGTTTTTTCTTGAAAATAATAGATTGGAATAAATAGTGAATGAATATTTCATTATACCTATTTTTTTGTACACCGTACCTAGAGACATGATCAAAGTATGGGCGGGGCAGGGTTTTGGGCTAGGCCAAGACACTACATTACGAGAATTTCTAGGCCCAAACTTGGCCCAGCCCGTATAATGGGCCTAACAATTGAAGCCCGAGCCCGGCCCGAAAGTATATACTCGGGCTTTGGATCGGCCTGGTCCACCCGCCAAAAACTTCTAAATAATTTAAGAATATTTTTTAAAAAAATAACGAGTTGATATATTAGATATTTGATATAATAACTACAATGAGTAAATGAAATAAAAATTAATATGTAAATGTATTTTGTTTGATATTACTACAATGTATGGGGTACGAAATATTAATTTTTGGAATAGCATCATCAATGTGTGATACGTTGCAAACAATACGGAGTTGTAATGATGTATTCATTTTATTATACATACTTATAATTTATTTTTTTCTCTATAGAAGTATGTATGTGTGTGTATAATAATTTGAAATAGTTTTGTTCTTTATTATTATTATTATTCGCACCGGGCCGTGGGCTTGAGCATAAAACCCGAGCCTGGCCCTAAAATATTTGGATCGTCATTTATAAGGCCTTAGCCTGACCCGTACCTTAAAATGTTAAGACCAAGCCCGTTATTTTTCGGGCAAGCTTTTTGGAGCGGGCCGGATGCCCGGGCCCGTGATCGGGTCTAACCAGATCCCCTCACCCTCCATACTTTAATCTTTTCTCGGTTACTCCATGGTTGCTTTATTTGTTTCCCTAATTTGGAACCTAGTTAGGGAATACCCATTTTATACTTACATAGATGTAATACATGTTTATATATATGTATGTGTATGATTTTCAAAAATATTTTAAAATACAGTATATTTGAGACTACGCATAATACAGATTCAATGAATATTTCATAATAATTACTCCAACAAATATTAATTTGTTCGAACAAACATTTAAGCGAAATAATACTGTGTAAGTTGTTGAATTGGATTTAAACGATATATATATATATATATATATATATATATATATATATATATATATATATATATATATATATATATATATATATATATATATATGCCAATACTAAGAAGTGGGAAGTAAATATCATTTTCATTTACAATATCATCATAACAGATTCATATACGGATCGGAGTGATATGATTATTAGATCGAGCAGTATTCATATTCAATAAAATGATAAATAAAGCGGGGTTGCAAAAGAGATTATGTACAAGTTTGACCGTTGACAAAGTCAATAAAGACGACACAGCTGTCTCGAGCCCTTAAATATTCGAAATCGGCACTAAAAGATGATCAAACATAAAACCCTTGCAGATAGGTCTCGTTTTTACTCATTAATCTAAGACTACACCTTGAATTATGCAGTTTGGTTCTTTGTCCATTCATTTTGAGAGGCCACAGAGGACATTGTCCCGATTGAGACACTTACACTGCTCCATTCTAGAAAAGGAAAAAAAGACTTTAGTAGAAGTAGAACATAGAAAATATACCAAAATAAGAAATCTATATTCTTATTCCCGAAATATGAGTTACAATGCATATACATTGTCACTCATGACCATATACATTACCAAATAATATTGTGAAATGTTTATATACAATGTCACATTACCAAAGTGCAAACTTTTATTTTGGGATAAAAAACATGGAGTTCTTATTTTGATATTTTATCTATGTTTTATTCCTATTTAAGATGATTTTTTTCACAAAATTGATAGTCGATACCCGCTTAATCCCCAAATAAATCCTCTCACCCAAACTCGACCCCAACACATCTTCCCACCCACGTCAATTGCGGTGTGCAAGTTTAGTTGATTTTGAAGTAAAAAATATTGATCCGGAAGTATCAGTTTTAATCACATACGGAGTATATTTTATTTTTCAACATTTTTCCTAAATTGTGTTCAATTAAAATGAACTTTTGATTTGGGACGGGGCACTATGTATAATACTCCTTCCAAGTTTTAAAAAAAATTACTCTAATTTTCGTCCCGAAATAAACTTCAGTACTTGAAGAAGTTTATAAAAAATGTTGAAAAGTAAAAAGTGATGGTTGAAATTCAATTAGAGGCTAGAGAATGATCGTGAGCAACTTATTTCTTTCCTAAATATGAAAAGGTACAAGTCTGAAGTTTAGTTCAGGCCGGATAATCAAAAAAGAAAAATGTGAAGTTTATTTCCAAATGTAGTAACGATGGAACTATACTATACTATACACATATGCATGATCATGTGAAGATATGTAAAGGAGAAGGATATACAATACCTCGTAGACTTTCGTTTCAGACGGTAAATTGCACGTTGTACACCGTATTGGTTTGAAGCCCATCATTCTCTAACGCCGCTGCTATCAGAAGAAGGCCCTGATTGATGTGCGGAGGAGGAGGAGGAGGATGATGATCCTCCCCCTTGCCGGAAGTAAGACCAGGCCAAAACAGCAGAACCGATTGTAAGGGAAGCAGCAACCGAACCCCAAATCCATCTCTGCCTTCTCTTCCTTTTTTGCCTATCACGTCTTGTTATCTCTGCATGGAAAGGCCAAACAGAGACATACATTGGTATATGATTCAATTGAGGAATTCTATTTCCCTTCATAAACCAATATTTTGATCTAAGTCAATCACAAGGTGGGAATGCATTTTAGACAGTGGGAATATTATTTTCTTTTTTTGATGGTAAATGCAAGCATTAGAAAATAACTTTTAATGACGTTTTCCACTATAGAAATATTTTCAGTGTAAACTCACCTACAGCTTCCTGATTTCTCTGGGACATCTCCCGATTTACTGTCTCATAATAGTGCAGTTTGTCCCACAAGCGGGCAATTTCAAAGTTCTTAAGCTCAATCTGACCATCCATCACTTCCTCAGCCTCAGCTTTTGCCATTCCCCTCCCAATGGAATTCGACACATACCGAGCAACATGCAGTTCCTGGACCATACTTTTTACAGCATCGCCAAGCTGTTGATCCTCTTCTACAAGGTCAGGGAGAGTCAATCCTATGGGAAGAAGGTGTTTCCCAATCCTTTGCCACTGCATTCGCATGTGATTAAGAGCTTCCTCTGCTCGTTTATGCTTTTCAGTCTCCATCAATAATCTCAATTTGATCTCACGCAACTCAGTTTCGAGGTCACGACTAGCTGGCTGCAGTTCACCACCGTCAGGGGAAATTTCTGAAGAAAATGATGGAAGTAAAATGATTAAGCATCAATTTTATAGTTCAATTATAACAACACCACCACCACCACCAACAACAACAACAAGAAGAAGAACCTTAAGCATAGGATGAAGATGAATTAGATTAATAACTCAGTACCTCAGAGTGAGTTTATTCTTCATGTTCATTTTCAATAAATGGTGACACATGCACATAATCAGTTAAAATTATGCCAAGTAATTAAATAGGGAGAGGGTGGCAAGGGAAAGCCAGACAACATATACTGTACACATTAAATGTGGACACCCTAAACTCATTTTGATAAAAGATTCTAAATTATCGGAGGGAAGAATGGATTAGGTACCTTCATATGCATCATAAAATTCTGCTGCTTGTGTGCTATAACTCAAACAACACTCCAGTCCACCATTAACATTCTCAGCATCAGCATTGCCTTCTATGCTCATCGAACCTTGGGGACCAATCAAATTGTCAGCCTCGATATTTTGTTGTAATCCGTTATCCATAGATTTCCCCGTACCATTTACCGCAGCTGATATATCATCCAAATCCAGGTAACTCTTCTCGCCAGCACCTATGCTACTCATATGACCCTCTTTACCATGTGTATTAGCAGCAACTGAAAAATTATCATCATTCACCGAATTCTCTTCTTTAGGAATGGAAATATCATCCGCCTGTGTAGTTAGAGCACACTTTTCGACACCAGTTGTGCATTGGCGAATGGCAACATCATCATGGGACAAGCTTTTCAGAAGCCGCGGGCCACGGCGCTTGTGATTGATGATGTAAGGCGACGGAGGATATGAAGAAGGAGAATCTGGGAGCGGAGTACACTTTGGAAGGGCATAGAGTGCAGGAGATGTAGCGGCCCAGTGACGCTTTCTACTAATCCCCCTTTCCATCCTAGAACTGGGAGCACGATTTCTCTTATCGACACTCCTTAAATGTGCACTATTGATTCTCTCTCCCTTTGGGGGAGGAGCACTTTTAGTTCTAATCATGGATTTTGGGTTCCCTGAATCTAACAGCCTATCTAATGCTACTGCTGAAAACATTGGCATGGCGATACAAGTTCAAGCAATCTGCTCGAGCAGAAAGAAGAAATTTTAATAAACATTGGCATGACAACATAATCTTATCTCCGAATTCCGTAACATTCATCAATCTCGAAATTTGTGATCGAATTGCCAATTTTTAAAAACAAGAGAACCAAATCAGGTCAGTAATATAACTCAATGCCACAAAAACCTAAATCCCTGTGCTAAAACAATCCATTAATGGATTCAGCAAAGCAAAATTAAATCCAATTCAACAACTTACACGGAATCAAAATGGAAGGAGAACGTAAGAACTAACCTGAGCGGGGAAAGGGACGGAGATATTACGAGGAACGAATCCAGATTTACATAAACACAAAACACCTCATCGATCCGCTCCTGGCTCCTTCTCCGGTCCCGTTCTTCAGGAGAAGACGGAGAAGACGGAGAAGAAGGCGGCGAGAGCTGCTGCGAATCTCTCCGGTTGTCGTCGATGCGCTCATCTCGCTCCCACGAGGCTGATTTGCTTTTGTATTGGATGGAATCACTCCATCGTCACGCCATTCTTACCATTCCGCCGTAACGGTTTTCTTTCAACGTCTTTCGAAGGAACGGCCCGCCTGGATTGGGCCAGAATTCAACTTTGCGTACGCATCAAAGCAAAGAATGAGATTTCAAATGATTTTTAATAGATTATAAGAAAAAAGTATTAAAATAAGATTTTTATATTTTTATTTTCCTAATAAGAGTTTGCATTGTGGTAATATAATACTGTACATGTGTATTTTATGTAATGTACATAATCATGATTGGTAATATAAATGCATTTAAAATCCTATTTTAGAATTAAAAACATGGAACTCCTATTTTAGTATACTTTCAATTTTTACTCTTATTTTAGTATTTTTCCCTAGATTTTATCTCGATTTATTCTGTTTCTAAAATCATTTGATTCTTACAATTAATTACCGAGTATATTTATTTTTATAATTTTTTAAATATTACTCGTATTTTATTCTTAATTATGTGGAATTATTTTTTAGTGGTAGTCTCTTAAATTATTTAATTGCTTATCCCGGAATTTTCTTTCTATTAGCTTTTTCTTGGTCAAAAGTTTCAAATTTTGACCATAAAATATGGAAAAATTATATTCAATTATGATATAGTTTTAATATCAATATATTCATTTTAAAATAGAGTTTTAAAATATCATATTTTTATAGTACAAAAATTATATATAAATAAAGATATTAATAATCGAAGTAGTACACTATAGAACGTGAAAAAACAAACCGGAAGAAAATTATGGGACGAAGGGAATAGTTTATACATACGGGACGAAAGGAGTAGTTTACATAGAAATATCAAATCCTGATTACTTTGGTTAAAATTCACACGTAAGCAACACACATGGTAAGTAAAAAAGCATAAATTACTACTAGTTCCCTCATACTTTTTAAATTTTATTAATTTCTTTTTCAAAAAGTTTTTTTATATAAATATTTTAAGCAGGAAGATATAATTTGACAATGGTATGAATAGCACCATTCTTTTTTAATCATAAAACCATACCCGATTCGTAAGCCCGGAGTTCGTGATGGTTGCACTCCGTACTATGGAACAAATATTTCTTATGGTCACAAATCGAATTAGATCGGCAATAATTGTTTCTTAGCTTTTTCCTCAACTTAGGCAATAATCGCAACAAGAATAGAGAACAACGTCATAGGAAAACCAAGAGATGACAATACCAATGGACAGTGTTAAAAAGTATTCGTATAATTATTAAACGACAATGATCTTTTAAAGGTCAAATTGGTGATTTAAGAAAAATATTGGAAAAAAAAGATTACGTGGTAAAAATTTGTCTAGTCACATATTCATTTCTTTAAAAATTAAATAAAGTTGATTTCTTGTATCAAAGAGAGATGGTAGAAAGGTTCTTGCAACACAGAATATAGTGTTGGCATATTCTCATGGTGTTCAAAGCAAAGCCATGCCAGACACCAAATGATGGGTATATTGAAATCTAACCCAGATGTATAAACGAGTGAGACTCAATATACCCATTATAGCCAAAATCATCAAGGGCTAAATGGGGAATTAGCTTCATAAACAAACTGAGCAAAATGGAAAAGAAAAATTGTTGTGCAGGATTTTTATTTTCTAATCTTACACACACTCAAACCCAAGTTTCTGCCTTCTGGTTAATCAAATAGTCGTAAATGTTATGCAAACTTTGACGAGCCACGAGATTATTTGGCATGAAAACAAATGGCAACTTTTCTGCCAATCCGCTTGGCGTAAGAAACCAGTGATACAACAAAACAAGACAAATCCACAAAGCCACTCAAACCTGAGAAACAGCCTTTGGTGTTGTCGCGGTTGCAGCCTTGTCTGGTAGAATGTTATCAGGCAGGATAAGCTCTGGGGGTGTCTCGCGAACAACGCCCAACATGGAATCATATTCTTCGTCCTTGCGGGCAAACTTCTTCCGGAGTACCTTCTCAAACTCAATCTCGTCGAAACTCTTTGCGTTTTCAGCGGCGTGGACCTGCGCTAGATTAGTGTAGTTGAGGGCAGACTGGGAAATGAATGATATTTCTTCTTCGGTGAGCTTTCTTAGGAACTTTGCTGGGTTTCCACCCCATACCTGTGTTTGGTGGCAATCCACACATACAAGAGCAATTCAAACCAATCATTTATACAACCATATGAATAAAATTAACAAAAGCTAATTTCTTTTGAGAGCCCTACTGCTTAAGTTACACCATTCTACTCCACAGTGGTTCCTACCCCCATAACCACCCCACATACCCTCCCATCCGACCCCTGCCTGCGCCCACCCCCTATATAGACACAATAGGGGAGCTGAGGGTAGAAACTAATCGAACCATAGGGCCCTCAAATAGCATCGGTGTTATATGACAGCCATGAGTGGTGTTAAAAGAATTGCGCTCTTCAAAAACTCCCGTTATGAGTTGCGGAGTATGTTTGAAGAATATACGAATCTAGGAGCTAGCTAATTTTTTAAGACACTTGGTTCTAATACAAGGGAAAACAACTTATTCACTCTCTTTCATAAGAGGCTTGGTTCTCATAAAAGTGGAAACAACTTAAATACTCTCTTTGGCATTATCAATCTCTTTTGTGAACCCAATAGACCAATCAATTATCAATCTCTCTTTGGCATTAGCTCTAGTGTTTTGAATATGCTCCACAATGGTAGCTTTTAAGCTAGCATTTTCAATGTTAATTTGTCCCATTATAAAATTATCCAAAAGAAACTTGAAACTATTCACAAACCTTTAACCTTAAGCCCAAACAAAGCCTTAGCCTTTGGCTGGTTCAAAAGGAGGGAAAGAGAAAAATAGAAGACTTCGAAAAGATGGAGTGAGGAGGGATTATTATTTAGAATATGTACAAAGTGCTATATTTGATATCAAAAGCCTTGTAATTAAAGATATACGGAGTACTTCATAATCATCTACTCCCTCCATCCCAAAATAAATTTCATGCTTTCTTTTTTTGGTTTGAAAGTTGGAAGTACGATCCCATTGAACCCTTTACACTTCTCATTTATCTTATTATGAATGAAATAAGCGGCTCACAATCTTTCCCTCTCCTTGAATAAAAAAATTTCAACAGCCAACTTTTAAATTTTTAACACTTTTCTCAAACCTCGCAAGTCAAACACTGGTGTTTATTTTGGGACTGAGGGAGTATATGTATAATGCCAATAATAGTAATAGTATTTAAGATAATAATGCTCTATAATAATAATAATACTCTGTAACAAACTAGTGCAAATTTGTTTTAGAAGTAAAAAGGGAAAAAAAGTTACGGAGTAGAACTCATCTTAAATACCCCAAATGAGGAGACTTTTAGACTTTTCATTTTCTATAGAAAAACTATGGCGCCATATAAGTCAGAAGAGTTTATGTTTCATCATTAGGAGAGTACCAACCTCTCCACATGGAATCCGAGTATTCTGTCTCACAAGGGCACCGGCAGCAACCATGGCATTCTTCTCAACAATCACCCCATCAAGCAATATTGCACCCATACCAACAAATGCCTCATCTTCAACAGTACAGCCATGCAGGACAGCACTGTGACCTTTTTTACAATTCAGTTTAAAAGTTATTGTTCCTCAGTGCTGGCCATAGAATCCTAAAAATGCAAGAGGAATTATGTTTACTTGACTTATCACTTACCAACAGTAACATTGTTGCCAATAATTGTTGGCAAAACCTTTCCAGCTAGATTTGATTTGGCAACATGAACAAGAGAATTGTCCTGGATATTCGTTCCTGTCCCAATGCTTATATTGTTCACATCACCTGCGACAAAATAATCATGAAGATAAAAGAAATAGTGAAATGAAAACATTCAATGAAAGATAAAACTAAATGCAACTCATGCAAGTATAGGCACATGTCAGATAAACCTTGAGAGCTGGACATGATTATGGGGTATTTCTCTCCCCCTCCCCTCCCCGAAAACAGCAAAAAGGTACATTATTCAACCAAAGAAACTTTTTTTCATTCAATTTACTACAATATTCCCAAAATGTGTTTCAAACAAGTTATGTTAATGTTCTTAGGGAGTATAAATTGATATAATCGATGGCTTTTGCAGAGTTAAAATTTATCTCTAATTTGAAGAGTAGATGAGATTTGTATAGAGTTTGTACCTTTCTAAAGATTTTCAAAGACTCAACCAAAGTGTTTTGAAATCTTTAAGAGAATGGAAAGATTTTCATGAATTTTTTTCTCTATAATTATACTAAATGTAATTACTAAATAAAGTCAATGACTTGTTGAATGCACCCTAACAGCCTAGCTTGTGTGTATTCTTTAAAAGTTAATGTTGGATAAACTAAAACTCTAAAAGACATCTAAAAGTAGTTAAAATTCCATGTTTCAAGAACAGCAGTGAGATAGCAAGGCCAACACTCTTGTAGCTATGGAAAAAAAACATCACGTGTTTCAAAGGATGAAGATAGGGGGATCTGCCATTGGCCATCTACATTTAACACCAATAAATTTCATTCAGATCCTCCCAAGACCCTCTCATGGGATCCAATTGGGTTGTTGTTCTTGTTGTAAATTTCATTCAGATATGGAAAATTCCATGTTTCAAGAACAGCAGTGAGTTAGCAAGGCCAACACTCTTGTAGCTATGGTAAAAAGGCATCATGTGTTTCAAAGGATGAAGATAGGGGGATCTGTCATTGGCCATCTATTTAACACCAATAAATTTCATTCAAATCCTCCCCAGACCCTACTATCGTGGGATCCAACTGGGTTGTTGTTGTTCTTGTTGTAAATTTCATTCACATGAACTGAATGCAGAAGGTTGTTGACCAGTGATATTCCAACAATTTAATAATTTACAAATCATACCTCGTAGAACACATCCATACCAGATAGAGGAATTGCGCCCAACTATAACATCCCCAATGACAGAAGCACTAGGAGCCACAAAT